GAAGTGTTTAAAACAAATCAATCATGCATTGGACAAATGTGTAATGACTTTGTTTTGACAGATATGACTTTATTAAAAGAAAGCATTAGGACCCAAACATCGAATGCAATTAAAAACACTTCGGAGCACGAAACTAAAACCACAATTACTCTCACAGATGTGGTAATAAGGCTCAATTACCTCGAAACAAGAAAATAATTTGCTTACGTGTAATATAATAAGTATTTTTTTCAAGACATGATATTGATGTGCAAATGCTGTTCTGTAATACATTGCGACAAATGCAGCGCTAAAACTAAGAGGCTGAAATGGGAAGACACACGCTTATGTAATATTTTAAGGTAATTTAATTATTTTATTGGTACAATATGAAGTGACGTAATTTCATATAATAGCTCTCTAATGCGGTTGGAGGTTATGCAGTGCAGTGTTTGGCACGTGAGATGAAATGTCACGCCGGGAGAACACGCGACACGACCCCAAAAAGTGCACAGCCACCTTTTGCAAAATTGAATTTCATAACAAATTTTAAATGCGACATGTTGTCTCTTGCTGGGGAACGCTCGCATTTATTTCGTGATCAAATATACATTGCGCCTTGAATTTAGAGTCGAAATGTCGCTGCATCTGAGGATGCTATGTGAAGCAGCTTCCGAACTGTGGAGCGTATGTCCAGTTCGGTGGCTACATTTTAATTGTTTAAAAATAAAGACAAATCAGTCAATTCAGGTGCCAACGGGCGCACAACAGTGGACGTGGAGACGTCTTGGGAGTTTGCTTTTCTTTTTTGAATCTGAGACTCCAGCTCGAACCTCCGCTCCTGTACGCAAAACAAAAAGTAACGCTCTTCTTGGTTCTTTCGGTAAAGTCAGGTAGAAGGGAAATAATAAAATAATAAAAATAAAACAATAAAATAATTCTCACGACGTTTCGGCCACAACGCAAGCAGCCGTCCTCAGGTGAAGAACTGTTCTTCACCTGTTCTTCACCTGAGGACGGCTGCTTGCGTTGTGGCCGAAACATCGTGATAATTATTTAATTATGTTAAATTTTTATTATTTTATTATTTCCCTTCTACGTGACTTTACCGAAAGAACCAAGAGGATGAATCCCTGCAGTCACGAAAGCTTTAAATCGAAAAAGTAACGCTTTTCATTTCAGCCCGTTTTCTCACTGTCTCGCGGATTGGCAACTTCACCGCTGCGAATACGGTGTTGGTTTTCCGGCCAAAATCAGGGGTGAAAGGGCATTGGGCGAGTGGCGGGGGCTCTGTGTTAACCTGCTTGGGTAAGCATTGAGCTGTCTTCATCAGCTACCTTGGCTGCTGATGCAATTTATAATATCCTAATGACTCTAACTGACACCATGTGCCACATATGCAGAACAAAAATTGCGCGTATTTATTTAACAGAGAGAAAAGTTCAACTGTTAGCAAAGATGTATCGCTCACACACGTGGTGATTGCTTGCCAGACGTACCAAGGAGGTTGGATAATACGTGTCAGACTTCAGAAGCGTGAGCTCATTCGCTTGCAGTAGACAACGTGGCATTGCAGTGCTCGGCAGAAGAATTTGGGGGGGGGGAGGGCTACGCAAATCATGGATCGAGTGACAGAACGCAGAAGTAGAGACGTGAAGGAGACAGCTTTCTGGTGGGCGGAATGAGATTTGGGACCTGGAAGGAGGTGGCCTAGGGAAGTGAAAGAAGAAGTTCTTGAGGTGGTTATCGTTAAAAGTGACAGGCGAAATGGTGCTGGTGATGACGGAGATGGCGAGTGCGGCTATAGGATTATGAGAGAGATTAGGTGAGAGAGTTCTATGGATTCCAAGACAGACTGGATGGTGGTTGAAATGGTTTTAGATAAATTATTATGAAAATCGATGTTCAAATCATGAGTAATGAGCAGAGTGGAGGAGACACCTGGTTTTAAATTACGATCAAAGTCAGACGTGAAGTTTGTGTTTAGCTTTGACGGACGGTAAACAACAGAGCGAAGCCGTTTAAGAAACTAAACGATTTTCAGAATTCAAGAGACAGTGATGGGCAGCAAGTATACGATAGGATAATATAATCAAGTCAGCAGCAGCCCAAGAAAGTAAACTATTTCAACGATTTTTTATTTTACCAGCTAAGGCCCACTGAGCTATACAGCTCTTTTGCAGAAGCGACTTGGCCACAAATGATAGCTCAACGAAGTGGCTTATCGCGTGGAAATTTATAGCAGCCGAATACTCTAAACGCACGTTTTTAAATGTGGAGGGAAAAACCGGAGGACCCGGAGAAAAGTCCACGCGGTCATGGGGAGAGAAAGACATGCAAACTCAAGGTTGGCATCGAACCCACGGCCTTCTGCATACCAGACGAGATAGTCAACATCTCGCAACTGCGGGATGCTCCGGATCAACCTAGGGTTTCTCTTCAGCAGGTGCTACAACAACCAGCTACTCACAGGGGCTGATTGATTAATTCCTCCAACCTTTGAGGCTCAGCCTCCATCACAGGGTTAGATCTCTTCTGCCCCATAATGTTGTTTGGGCTGAGGATTTCTCCCTTCTCCAATACCTCACAGCAATGGTCAGCAAATCTGCAGACCTGATCTGTGAGTCGGATATTAATTCACTATTCTTTTTCTTAAGGATGGTAATTAATATGGGTGGTGTTGCAAGTTTTTTTTATGGTGTGAAAGAGTAATACCATAAAAAAGGACCACTGATTAGCACGGTTGGCTACGTACGGTGCAAATGAAGTTCAACATACATACATGGACTGCTGAAGCAGTTTCTATATCCTCATGAACATGTGGCTACCACTCATCCTTGCAGCAGCGAACATGAAATATATAATATATACATACATATTTAACCAGTTTTAGTTATTTAGCGCATTGTTGAACATTTGGGAACATAATTCGAGGAATATTCAACTGTATTTGTACAATGGGATGAGTGATCTCGTGAGGTTTTATGCTCGCAGAAACCGTACAGATATATAATTCATCTTCTTGGTTCTTTCGGTAAAGTCACGTAGAAGGGAAATAATAAAATAATAAAAATAAAACATTAAATAATTCTCACGACGTTTCGGCCACAACGCTAGCAGCCGTCCTCAGGTGGAGAACAGGTCTGTACTATTGTCGGTACGTCTGTGTGTGTGTGTCTTCTCGACAGACCTGTTCTCCACCTGAGGACGGCTGCTTGCGTTGTAGCCGAAACGTCGTGAGAATTATTAAATGTTTTATTTTTATTATTTTATTATTTCCATTCTACGTGACTTTACCGAAAGAACCAAGAAGATGAATCCCTGCAGTCACGAAAGCTTTAAATCGAGATATATAATTGTGCAGATTTTTTCCCCTTCTTAAATGTGGACAGATTGTACTTGCCACTCGAAGGAGAAGGGACGGCAGTTCAATGCCACGAGCATATTGCGGTCCCGCTATAGGAGGGCTGAAACATAATTGTTCCTCGTTATATATATTTTTTTGGGGGTTGAAATGCCTACCATTCACTCACTCACCACTCTTTCCCCGCACGTCAAACAAAATCAATGGACTGTCATCTATACATTTGAAAATGACATTCTAATTCTATAGATTGTTCTCCTTACAACAACAACAACAACAAAAACACATGGCCGCTGTGGTGCTTTTTTTCTCTCACAGGTTTGAGGTCGGCAGCTGGTGACATTGGAGACGGTGTCACACGTAACATCGCCCCACACTGGATGATAATAAAGCAACTCGCAAAGCGCTGCGCTGCGCCACTAGCACTTTGGGGGGATTCTGGCTACACGGTGATACCAAGAGACACAAGCAGTGTGGACTTGCAGCTCAGCGCACACGCGTGGCCAGCTCAGGTACGGCCGCTTACACGGGCTGTTATACCCAGCACACGCAATCATGCATATATCACACACACACACACACAGCACGCAAGCACACTTACATACATGTGCATGCACATACATACTTGTATGTACAGATGTCAACGTATTTATAGAGGCAATAGGTAATTTTTAGAGACAATAGCTGTTTGATCCTACGAATTAGGCAAAGCGTATGGCTATAGACTTCATCCAATTACTGTACAGACGACGCATTAAAAAGGCTATACTTAATTATAATACCGCAAATAAATAGCTTCATATTTATACAATATCTTATTGGTCGGGTACCGGGTGATAGAGGATAAGTCATGCTATTGCAGTGATTAACTGGTAAACAGAAAAAACATTCGTTGGTTTGCATGAGTTGTATTGGACGCTAGGGGAGCTGGGTACTTTGACAGAGAACACGATTAAAAGTGATAATGTGTGCTCCCATTGTCGCTACGTCTGTGTGTGTGTGCGCTGCACTACGAACCCGGCGACCCACAAGTTCGATTCCCGCTTACGGCCAACGCCAGTGACGATTAACTGAACTGGTCCTCGACCTTCCCTCGGCTCGACTCACCCTCAAATGACCACCTAGTGCGGTGTGTAAACATCGCGACTGGGGAGACAAAGACGGTCGGGCGTGGTGCTGGCCACCCCCACCCCCTCGTGCACCGTTCCGGCCTTCATAGCTGATCGCTGACAACACTTGCTCCTCTTTGTCTTTTTGTGCTACAGCGCCTCTCCGGATGGAAGAAGCCACCAGCCGTCCCCTGCTCGCCGCCGCGCTGGTGCTGAAAGGGACAGCGCAGTTCCCTCCGGCTGGATGACAATCGCCGCCTTCGAACACACGCGGCTCTCTCTCTCTCTCTCATCCCGCATCATCAACAGCAATGCCAGCCACCCTCCGATCCCCCCCCCCCCACTCCAGCCAACCCCAACAAATGGAAGAAACCCCCCCCCCCACCTCAGCAAATGCTTCTGTTGGCGTTAATTCGGCGTAACAAGAGCCCGAGTCGTCGTCCATCTCAAACGGACGCCGCAGCCGCTGCGATGTAACGAGATGAGCAAGGGACACGCAGGCGCTCTTCTAAGTTCCGTCGATCACTCCTCCTACCTCGCTACAGCGTTTGCTCAGAGCCGCGGTGTTTTCTGCTCTCTGCGTTTGGATTTAATGCTGTGGGTTTGGGAGGCATTTGGAGTGGTCGGAAAAGGATCGTCTCAATCGGTTCGCGACGATTAAACTTCTGCCTCGGAAGGAGCCAACTCGATACTCGCATTGAAAACCTATTTCTTTCGAACTGCTTTCTGTGTTTAGTTGTGTTGTCTTCCCCCCCCCCTTCGCACCTCCGATTATCACGGTTGGTTAGGCACGCTGCGAAAGAGGTTCGACGCACATGCACATACTGGATGGCGTTTTAGCATAGCGTGTTCGCATTGACGGCACAGGACGGATTGAACTGGAAGAAGAAAAAGAAACGGGAGCCTGCTGGCGTGCGCAGCGAGCGGTGTTCGCTTTGCGGTTTCATCCACGCGGGGTAGAAACTTCGTTCATTCATAAATAACAGAGGGAGGCAGGAAGGAACGAACCCGGAGCGAGCGAGAGAGTGAGAGAGAGAGAGAGGCGACGCTTGGACATGGAGGCCCCGGGGTCAGGTTGGACCCAGGCGAACGCGACCTCGTTTCTCAACGCGACAGCGGTGAGCGCGAACGGAACGAACAGGACGTACGTCGACTACAACAGTGACTTCTACATCACCTTGCCCATCATCTACTCCGTCATCTGCGCCATCGGCTTGACGGGCAACACGGCTGTGATCTACGTCATCCTGCGCGCCCCCAAAATGAAGACGGTGACCAACATGTTCATTCTCAACCTGGCCATCGCGGACGAGCTCTTCACCCTGGTGCTGCCCATCAACATCGCCAACCACCTGTTGCAGGACTGGCCCTTCGGGAAGACCATGTGCAAGGTGATCCTCTCGATCGACCAGTACAACATGTTCACGAGCATCTACTTCCTCACCGTCATGAGCGCCGATCGCTTCTTCGTGGTGACGGCGACGGTCAAATCGGAGAACTTGCCCCGCAGGACCTACAGGAACGCCAAGCTGGTGAGCCGGGGCGTGTGGCTGCTCGTGTCCGTCGTCATCCTCCCGTTCACCATCTTCGCCAGCACGTACGTGGACGAGTTCGACAGGAATCACTGCAGCCTCGACTTCCCCAAGCCCGAGTTCAACTGGCTCAAGGGCAGCCGCATCTACACCCTCGTCTTCGGCTTCGCCATCCCCGTCTCCACCATTTGCATCCTCTACACCACCATGCTGTACAAGCTGAGGAACATGCGTCTCAACACGAATGGCAAGGCGCTGGACAAGGCCAAGAGGAAGGTCACGATCATGGTGTTCATCGTGTTGGCCGTGTGCCTCTTCTGCTGGACACCTTACCACCTGAGTACGGTGATAGCCCTCACTGGGAATCTACAGGAGACCCCTGTGGTGGTCGGCATCTCCTACTTCATCACGAGCCTCAGCTACGCCAACAGCTGCCTCAACCCGTTCCTGTACGCGTTCCTCGATGTAAACTTTAGGAATAACTTCCAGAAACTCCTGGAGTGTAAGGTAGCCACCTGATTCTTTACTTCGTGAACTCGGACGTGATAAATGTGCATGCAGATTATATTGTAATATATTATTTTAAAAAAATGTAGAATCAGCCTGTGAAATTGTTTTTCTGGGCTCGATATAATACCATGTTAAAATGGGCTGACGCTTAAAGTTACGTTATTTTATGACAGTACTGATAACGATTTTAAATATCGATCTCGCTTATGTCGGATTGTGTCATGTGAGTTCAATCCATACAGCTGAAAAAGTACGGGCACAGTTTCCACGTCACCACGGATATAACATAAATAGTGTGCACTTGAAAATGCTCATTTTGTTTCATCGTGCACTGTATTCTCATATAATGTTGATAAATGTAAAGATTTTGTTTCAATAAATACCAATGGCTCCATCACATCCCGATTCATATTCATTAAAACTGGAATGGAAAAACACCACGTTGTGTCATTTTATGAATTTAAATCCTGAGTAAAAATGTGACAAACGTGGCAGGGAACATATCTCGAATTGCTTCCCCATCCCTCAACTTTTCCCATATATTGTGATAAAATATCAAAACAACATAGGCAAAGGACCTTGTCGACAGCACATGGGCACACGGCCATTGCACCAATGTCATCCGGTTGAAGTCAAGCACCTCTTGGCTTCAAAGCTATTTGAAAAAATACATAGCATTGGCATATCAACATGATTTTGGGCAAATATACCCAAATACACGCAAAAAATATTCCACATTTATTCATTATCGTTGGACAGCCATAGCATTCTCGTTGTGAGTTTGCTTTAAGAAATGTAGCCATGACCTTACATCAAAGCAAATTTGCAGAAGCACATCGTGCCATTGACATGAATCAGTTCTGATGTACAGTATATGTACACTATTTATCAACAAAGAGACAAAAGAAAACCACCTAATTTAAAAAATATTTAAAAAAACATGTTATAACCGAATGTTATTCAAACATGGGAAAGTAGAGAAAAATGTAAAACAGGAAAATGAAGACATTAATGTAAGTCTATGTTTTTACCAACTTATATACTGTAATCATTATATTCAGCCCTTTGTCAATCAAATGCTGGTACCTGGTCTTTATTATAACTCTTCTCATGAAGCGTTATAATGAAGAGTTATAATAAGTTTGGCACTTTCTAAAAGCATTTTTAAGTTATTGAATTCTCAAAAAAATTGTTTGCAGTTTAATCTTTGGCAGTAAAAAAAAAACTACAAATACTATATAAATTGCTCTTCTTGGTTCTTTCGGTAAAGTCACGAAGAAGGGAAGTAATAAAATAATAAAAATAAAACATAATAAAATAATATAATATGTAGTCTACACGTGACCATGTGCTATATAAATTGCTGATTATATATGTTCACTAAAATTAGTGGCCTTCATTATTGCAAAAAAAATTCTGAAATATATAGGCTTGATAAATATTTAAATTTGATGCCAGATTTCAATGTTCATACGAAATTAGAATGTTGTCTGAGATAAAATTCTAACATCTGATCTCCCATTCACAGTTACATTTCTGCAATCACAACAGGATAAAGACACATTTTCGTGATTATCATGTTCGGACCGATAGATCATTACTAAATGATAAACTTGAGTAAACTTTGATATAATTGGGAGCATATTTACATTTCTTGCCAACCGCCCCCCTCCCCCCCCCCCATTAAAACATATGGATTGCAAAAATGGTACTGACATGAGTGTCTTGACATTTCTGTGATAGAATGACAATTAAGACTCACGTTTTCACACACGTTTATTCATATATTTTAACATTAACTTTCTCATATATTATATAAGCTAAGGCGAAAAGTGACAACAGACCAAACTGTAGTCTACACGTGACCATGTGCTGTCGTGTTAGAATCATAGACAACGAAATATTCCGGACGTGAGAAAAAACAATTGTACTGCACAGCACAAGTGCACTCTCTTCACTGGATCCCACCACAATTAACCACATGCATTTTTGCAGAAAAAAGCCAATAAGTACTGGTTTATCTTCTTGGTTCTTTCGGTAAAGTCACGTAGAAGGGAAGTAATAAAATAATAAAAATAAAACATAATAAAACAATTCTCACGACGTTTCGGCCACAACGCAAGCAGCCGTCCTCAGGTGAAAACCAGGTCCGTCGAGGCGACAGAGTCTGGACCTGGTTTTCACCTGAGGACGGCTGCTTGCGTTGTGGCCGAAACGTCGTGAGAATTGTTTTATTATGTTTTATTTTTATTATTTTATTACTTCCCTTCTACGTGACTTTACCGAAAGAACCAAGAAGATGAATCCCTGCAGTCACAAAAGCTTTAAATCGAAAAGTACTGGTTTGTTCCATTTTAAATATCACGTGTTATATATGCGCAGCACGCACACGCACACAGATGGGTGGCAGTCAAAGAGAGTTGAATCGACGTACACGTAAAGTGTCCGTGGCTGAATATCAGGCTTAGTTATCATACTTGTCACGTTCACCATAGAGCGAGTGCATCGGTGTTAGAAGTTGACTATAACTCGTAAATGCTTTTGATTAGTTCTCTGTATGTTCGTATTACATTTCTTGTACGCGTTCATAATTATGTATTTACAATCTAGATTCGTTTACAGCGGTTGTAAAAAGCATTTTAAACTCAAGATTATCAAAATACGTCTCTACTTTCGATACATAAATACTTCTTTTTGAAGACAATGTATGTTTACACGTGAATGTTATTTTTTGTTATTTTCTTTGAACCTATCTACGTGACTTTACCGAAAGACCGAAGAATATGAATGTAGTCATTAATGAGTTAATTATTTCTCATTCCTATTTCATTTGTAATAATAGTCTGCCCCAAATATGGTCTCCAATTAAAATGAGTAGTCTTTCGCGGTGAGGAAAGTGTAATTTGCTCACAGTTCATTTAACTCCAGCAACTGTCTACATTAATTAAAACATAGATTGACCTGCTTGAGAAACGTTTTGCAAAAATGACTCCATGCCCGTGGCGATAACATAATCCAGCCCAGGGTTTTTTTTTTAACTGTGCTCCAGAATATATGAGCTTATGCAAATACGATTTCTCATTAGTATGCAATTATAATAATGCTCTTTGCACCCATCTGAATGTAATTACTGAGACTCTCACACAGATCAAAAGGTAAGCAGTTCTTGCAAACAAAAACAGTTGACTGTACTATTGTGTTTCACTGAAAGGCAATCATGTTGGTACAATATATACACGTCAAGATAATACAGCACACAGATGTATCACGATCACGAACTATAACGTATTCCCAAAAAATTAAGCTGTATTTTTATAATATCGATAATACACCGTGCAATCCCACGATAGCTTTAAACGATGTGATTCACTGCATGTCACACATTTTTACAGAACAAAACATGAGTTGCAGAAAAGCCATGCCACCCTTTTAAAATACATCATTTGTGTTGTTCAAGAGTTCTGAAATGTCTACACATTCATAGCGACCGCTAAAGCAGCGATACAGTATTGTACGAAACAAAAAAAACTTCCACTTAAGACAATCTTAAGTGCAATTTCACGCATCGGTCCCAAGTCTTGGTTTTGTTATGCGTTTTCGAGGACCTTGGCATCACACAACAATTGTACACGACTCGCAAACCGCCCTTTTTAAGAGCCATAAACACACGCGGCGCCAGATTAATCGAGCGCACTGGGAACGCAAGTGAGCAGGTAAACTTTTTCACAGCTGCACAGTTATAATAATAATAAAAAAAAGCTACACATTGTGAACGAGTATTATTTTTTTGCACAATCCAAACTTGTGCTCTTATAAGCAACGTGCGCACTGACCACACACATAATTGGGTATTGGTGTGTGTGGAGTGTGGGTGGAGATTGGAGTAACGTAGAGTGGCCACAGAAACTTCTGGGAGAATGGCACCAGAGGTCATCCTAGCGGTCTCATCTTTGGTAGAGTTTTTTTTAAACAACCACCACCACCACCACGTCGCTTTGCACCTTTGCGACTTGCTGCAGGTAACGTTGGCCTCTGTACTAACTCGACGACGCTTTAATTGCGCTCGGCAATTAACATTCACCACATCGGAAAACAATCACGGCAATGTATGGTTCGTAGCAAGGAGACTAGTTTTTTATCCTGAAATTTTTCACAGAACAGAATTTGCGTGATCAACAGAGGAATTTGCTGTGCCAGTAACTTATTCATCTGGCCTACGAATTACTTGACTAATGTATCTGGGTTATGGACACATTCATTCTATTCTATTCCTGCGTATGGCAATATGTTAAGGAGATAAATGCCAATGTCGGGCTCTGCTAGCGATCAGAGGGCTGCAGGAGAGAGTTGTTGTCGTTTTGCTATTCCTCACCAATTGAAGGATCGCAGGCAACCGTGGTTTGCGAGGTGGCCCATAGCTTGAGTTGCATGGCCACAATCATCACTGCTGTGGCTCGTCTTGAATTTTCCATTCATGAAGGAGATGCGTCCCGTTGATGGTACATCAGTGATATATTCATGAGACGATTGGGTAAAACTGCAGCACTACAGCATGCTGAAAGAGTGTGTTTTTTTTAGAGCAGGTACCCGCGGGTTCTGCAAAGAGCCAATTGAGTGTATATATGTGTTTATATATCGACAGTTTTCGGCACAGCACGGGAGACATTAATTCTGTTTTGGCTACTGCTGTGAGAGTGTCTGCTGTGTTATGCCCCTTCAGTAGAACAAATACTGTCCTGGCAGCGTGCACTCAAGTTCTCATTGTAATGAGTGAAGTGTAAAGATGATCAAATCGGCAAATGAACGTTGTGAAATTTGCATAACACGTACATCTTATTTAAACATCTTATTTATTTATTATTCAAAACTGACCACATTTTTGTTTATTTTACCAGGTAAGGACCACTGAGCTATACAGCACTTTTTAAGAAACGACCAGGCCACAAATGATAGCCCAATTAAGTGGCTAATCGTGTCAAAATGTATAGTAGCCAAATACTCGAAACGCATGTTTCTAAATGTGAAGTGAAAAACCAGAGGACCCGGATAAAAATCCACACGACCACAGGGAGAACAAGCAAACTTATTTCAAATTAGAACCCTTCCCGATTCAGCAGGGTTTGATCCGTGTGACCCAATTTGGTGTTATGTTGTACAAATATCTGGGTTGGGCTGTTCCAAAGCATTTAAATAATGTTCAAGGCAAACACCTTCATTTCACTTTAATAGCTGAGCTGAATGTCAATAAAAAAACCTGTCGTTGTGGAATAGTATTGCAATCGTAACTTTCACCATGTTATGAACCTTTTCAATGACTGTTTAAAGAGCTTCTTTGCATTTGACAGAGGCATTTTTATTGTATGAATAAGACCCTGGGTAGATTCAAAATTTTTTTTTTTAAAGCAGGAACTTCCAG